TATCGAGCTAATGTGCTCAACTGAGTTGTGGTAGCACGGGAAGGTGCATGAGGTGCTAAACAGTGATTTCAGACTACTCCAGTGTAGTTCTCAGCACGTTCGAGGACGAACGTATGTTTAAGTGGGAGAGAATGTAACGACCCGATAGGTCGTCTTGAGCCCTAGGGCGTCGTTCAGCAGTCTGAGGCCATGAGCAGCTTCATTTCAGGTATTGTGACTTGTTAGCATGGTCGGAATTTAAATTCAGGAAGATCGGAGTTAAATTTAAATGAAAATTCTCATTTGAGAAGCTTAAAGTTGAAAGAATGAACTAGGACTGGAATTTTGAGTAAACGACCTCGGAATCAGGATCTGAAGGTTCCAGCAGGTTCGTATGATGATATCGGACTTGGGCGTATGCCCAGTTCGGGTTTTGGATAACCCGGGAGCGTTTTGGCGCCTATTGTGGAAGTTAGCATTTTAGAAGAAATTTCATAAGTTTAGCTTGAAGAGCATTTCGGTGTTATCGATGTCCGTTTGGGATTCCGAGACTGTGAATAGCTCCGTATGGTGATTCTGGATTTGGGGGCGCGATCGGAAGTGAATTCGGAGGTCCGTAGGTCATTTTGGAGCCATTTGGCTAAAGATAGAAATTTGAAGGTTTTTGAGAAGTTTGACCGGAGGTTGACTTTTTGGTATCCGGGTCGGAATCCAATTCCGGAAGTTGGAGTAGGTCCGTAATGTCAAATATGACTTGTGTGCAAAATTTGAGGTTAATCGGACATGATTCGATAGGTTTAAACATCCGAAGTAGAAGTTGAAAAGTTCAAAGTTCATAAAGCTTGAATTGGAGTGTAATTCATGATTTTAGCGTTGTTTGATACGACTTGAAGCCTCGAGCAAGTCCGTAATGTATTTTGGGATTGGTTGGTAGGTTTGGTTGAGGTCCCGGGGGCCTCGGGTGGATTCCGGGTGGTTAACGGATCGAAATTGGAATTTGGAAGAAAGTTGAAGGCATTTGGTTGCTGGTATTTTCGCTTCTGCGGAGCCGCAGATGCGGTTTTTGGTCCAAACCTTGAGGACCGCAGATGCGGTCTAAATTTCGCAGAAGCGGAACCACATCTGCGGAAGGGGCATCGCAGAAGCGGAAGAGAGGGCCTTGGGGAAGGACCACAGATGTGGTCAAGGCTCCGCAAAAGCGGAACCGCATCTGCGGTGGTATGGTCGCAGAAGCGAAAAGGGGGCTAAGCCAGGGAAGCCGCAGAAGCGGCCTACTGTCCGCAAAAGCGGAGCCGCATAAGCGGCTATAATTCCGCAAAAGCGGAAATGTCTGGAGGCAGAAGCTTGTTTTAAATCGCGATTGGGAGTTCATTTCTCTCATTTTTCATGGCTTGGGGCGATTGTTGGGGAGCTTCAAAGAGGGATTTTCGTCAACAATGTTAAGGTAAGTTATTTCTACCTATTATGAGTTAAATACTTTAATAATGTATGGATTTTAGTATGAAAAGGGGTAGAAAATTGAGGGTTAGAGGAAGACCTAGAAATATTGTGTTCTTGGAATTTAGCCACGATTTTTGGGTATGGAATTAAGAGAAAATTATATATTTGAGTTCCTAAGGTCATGGGTAAACCTTATCTTCAAAAAAATTTTGGATTCCGGGCACGCGGGCCCGAGGGCGTTTTGGTCAACTTTTTGATCGGGGTTAGGAATTGTTATAAATTGGTTGTAATGAATACCTTAGCATATATTAATGGATTTGTATCGCCATTGGCTAGTTTTGGAGCTTTGGGCGTCGGTTCGAGCCTTCGGAAGAAAGTAGAATGCCGGTTTTAAGTCTTCGGAGCGAGGTGAGTCTCCTTTCTAATCTTGTGAGGGGGAATTTACCCCATAGGTGAAGTAATTGATTATGTGCTCCTATTTGTGGGTGCTACGTACGCACGAGGTGACGAGGATCCGTGCGTAGCTATTATTATACTATTGTCCGGGTAGTTAGGGCCCAAAAGCATGTTGTACGTGGATTAATTGTGAATCCCATGGATAGCCTGAATTGTTTAAAAATCACATTGAATCAGTAAGTAGATTTCTAAAAGGATTAAACTTCATTTCTTATATCGTTAAAGGGGAATTGGTTTTATTTGAATAAATATTCCCCGATAAGTTCTTATTTGACTGATCGAGCATGTATTTTATGTGTGCATGTGTCGCATGGATGTTTCGCGAGCAGGATATGTGTTTATTATGGAACGGGCCGAACGCCTCGGTGAGAATAGACGCATCTATGGTTCGTACCGCTCGACCCTCGGCAGTGCACAAATTTATATTCCTGTTGGAGCGGGCCATCGACCTCGGCATGATTTGCGCATGTCTGTCTGTTACTTGAAAAATTGTAAATGTGGAATTGGCCCTACGTGGCTTGATATAAACTGATAAGATAATAAAGAACAGACTTTGGAAGCCCTTGATTTATGTTGAAGGTGTTTACCTGTTTTTCTGGCTTCATAATCAGAACTTTTATATAAATCCATGATTATTCTCGCACTTATAGAATATTGCTAATTGACCTCTAGTGAGTGTCGGAGTTGGCCACCTCGTCTCTACCCCTTCGGGATTAGGCGGGATACTCACTGAGTACACGTTGATTACGTAC